GGGAATTTTGGCGACTAGAGACAATGGAAACCAACCCGCACTGTAGGATTTTTGAATTTTTCTTTTCTTATAGTTGTTCCTGACATAAATATAATTTATTTTAATTCTTCAATTTCGACAGTCATAGATAATTTAAAATAAAAACTATTTGTTACAATTGCATTATGATGTTTCTGTCAAAATACAATACATCTATTTTTATATTCGAGAAGCCGACTACAAAATTTTATAGCGATACTTCCACAATAGACATATTCTAATTCCATTATTTTCGCAAGAAAGTGGTTACCCTTTTAGTTGGTTTCCATTGTCCCTAGTCGCAAAAATCCCCACTCGCCATTTGTTATAATTCTCGTCAACTACCGCACCCTGCTCTAGTAAAAATTTAGTGACTTTATTGTTAAAATTAAAAGTTTCTAATTTTCACTAGAGCAGGGTGCGGTAGTTGACGAGAATTATGATAAATGGCGAGTGGGAACGATGGAAACCAACCTAATAAAGAAAATAAAATTTGTCAAAAACTCAGATTTTACTACACACAAATAGTGCCAATGTAATTTTACTACGTCGGATATTGGAAAAAAGTGACCGCCTACTTCGGACGCTGTAAAAAAACTGTCAGCAAGTTATAAATTTATTATTACAAGCCGTTAAAATTAAAATAACGTTTCCGTTGTTTACAAGCCGAAAAATTAAAAGGCTACATAACCTAAAAGTTGTTTTTTATATTTCATAAATTTTGCTTCCTCATATATTACAGTCATTAATTCATAAAACCTTTCACAAGGATTCCTGAATATATCCACATTTTTTTTTTACAATTTTTTCAAAATTTGAAGAATTTATATTTTTTAACAAAAAATTTTTTTCATTGTAAATTTAATTTATTTGTTTGGTAAAGAAAACTTTATTTCTTGCATTGAAACGAATCAATTAATCTAAATGAAATTCATATTTTACTGAAATCTATAGATTAAATCTATTTTTTTAATTTTTGGGAAAAAATCGTTTTTCGTATTTTTTGTAATAACTTTTTCCTATATATAGAAATTTTAATTAATTCTTCTCAAAATTATATAATTATAATTACATTGTTTTTAAAAATTATAACTGCAATCGTCGTTAAAAATAAACTATTTCATTTTATGTCAAAAATTTGTGTTGTTTGTGGAATGAGTTGTAAAATAAAAACAAAACTAAGAAAAAACATTTTCTGACAATTGATATATGTATATATGAGAAAAAAAACAAGATGTTTGGTTCACTTTTTTAAGATGAGAATCTCTGTTTAATGAATGTACCAGAGGTGTCAGAGCAGCAACTGTCAAAACACAGTAGAGCTTGACGAAGAGGATGGCGTCTAACAGAAACGATAGGAATAGAAAAAGAGATACAAGAGTCCTTTTCACGCTATATTGGTTATACTGAGAATGGTACAGCAATGATGTTATCGATAATCGCGATATCTATCCTTCTATCCCTAAGCATGGAATTTCCATTCTGTAGGATTATATATATATATGTATATGATTTTTTTTAATAATACCGGTGTGAGTTCATATATTTGTGGGCACAACTATTCCTATACATGTATAACTTGTGTAACGGTTCCCTCCCTCTTTTCTCTTAAACAGATCTCTATCTTTAAAAAGAATGCATCATTGTACCTGATAAAAGGTGAAAAAAATATTCTGTATTATGATACTGAAAAATATAACTCAAACTCTTTTGTTAAATTTTGATAGTCTAAATAAAAGGAGACTTCTCTGAAGCCTGACCTACACAACTGTATTGTAGTTAATATATATATATTTGCTATTTTACATTTCCTTTCAAACGAAATTTTATTAGAAAGTATTTATTAAAAATAAATTTTTTGATAAAATATTAATATAATATGGCACATGTCATAACGAATTCTTATACTATTTTTGAGTTCTTTACAAAATTTTAGCTCAATCTATCAAATATTTTGCGAGAAAACCTGCGGAGAATATTTACATGTATAACCTTAAAGTAAAAATATGAGTATGGGAGAGTAAATGTGCGAGTGACAATTTAAGAGTAAAAACATTATAACAGGTCTAACAGAAATCTGACGATTAACACCGGAACTAATCAAAAGTTTCCGACGGGACAATCGTCAAATTTCCAAACTTGTTATGACGCTCTCTTGTTAGTTAAATTGTTACTCATCTCTTGTGGTAATCGATGACCTGTTTTCCCATATAATATCAAATAGTGTTCTCCGGATATTTACCTTCCACTCTGTAGTAATCAAAATGTAAGAATTATAAATTTGGATTTTTCATTCTTAACAATTTGATTAACTGCTTGATTAGTTGCTTTGTGAAACTCACACATTTGCAGTGAAAGAAATGGTAATACGAATACTAGCATAAAAGTAAGGTTATGATTTATAATTATGCCAGTATCCACTCGCCATTTGTCCTAATTCACGTCAACTACCGCACCCTGCTCTAGTGAAAATTTAGTGACTTTATTGTTAAAATTAAAAGTTACTATAAAGTTACTAAATTTTCACTAGAGCAGAGTGCGGTAGTTGACGAGAATTATGACAAATGACGAGTGGGGACTATGGAAACCAACCACATTTTCATCCTATCCGGTGACACTCTAAAATGGAAGTTGGTAAAATGTTGAACTGTAAATTTAGTTCCAAGTTGGAGTACTGATGTCCTTTGGGGCCGAATATTTTTGAAGTGTCAGCTTTGCATTATCACATTACAGAAATATTAATAAAGATAAGATATAATAAGGATTATAAATTTTATAGAAATTATAAATCTGACATTTTATAAGAGAAAAATGCTATAAATATAAAAGAAAATATTTTACATACCATATCTGCGTGTTATTTAACAAATTAGTCCTCGTGTTCGATTCATCAATTTTGAGGTTAGGTATACAAAAATCATGTTTAAATTGACAAAGAATAATAAAATGTGGACATACTAAATTTCTAAATATTGAAATATAAAGGCCTAAGCAGAATGGATTCTTGAACGGGAACCCAATCGTGAACAGAAACGTAAGAATGAGTGAGAGAAGAATAAAGATATTTGCTATCTTTCTCTTACACATTCTTACGTTTCCGTTTACGATTGCGTTCCCGTTCAAGAATCTATTCTGCTTAGGCCTTAAGCCATTAGGCTGCAGTCCCATGGCAGCGTTTTGCGTTGCGTTTTGTCACTAGACCATGAGTGTAAAAGAGATGCAGATATATGTTTGCTATGTTTACACTCATGGTCTAGTGACAAAACGCAACGCAAAACGCTGCCATGGGACTGCAGCCTTAGGCCAAACAGCAATGGAACATCTTTTATTACAAAAATATATTATTTTTAAAAAATGTGTAAATAATAATAGGAAATTATTTAAATTGTTTAAAGAATTGCAAGCGGTAATAATTAAATACTTGACAGTAGAGAAAAAAATTGTTTCATGATTATAAAATTTGCAAAATTGATGAATTAAAAACACATTTATTGTGATTATTGATTGTATAATATATAATATGAGGAAGGAAATAAAGTACAATATCTCATGATATAATAATCTGTTTATATATTTTTCGCGTTATGTATGTACAGGCGCAAATAATAATTATAATATAATAATGCTTCCTTTTTTTATATATGTACCTATTTATATATGTATAATTTCATTTTAGTCAATTTTGCATATCTATGTATAATATTTATATATGTTCATATTTATAGAGTAGATCATACAAGAATTTTTTCTAATTGTCTATCTACAGTTGAAGAGGATGACGCAAATCGTTTAGACTTATTTATGTATATATATATAATTTTAACATCACGTTTTAACGATTGCAACTTTGATGCGCGAATGATAAACTCGCATTATTCACAGTGAGTAGTGTATAAAGTTTTCAAAACTGCAAGAAGTCGAATTAGTTCAAGTGTTAAATCTAATTATCATAATATGAGGAGCACGATCGATTTGAATTATCCCGAGTCGAAATTTAAGATTTGTTCAGAATATAATATAATATATTAACTTATTTATAACTACTTTTAAGATTTACAAACTCTGATTAGAATGTAGTAGGTTTTGGAAGGGTATGTTTAAAGTCTGTTTAGTTATACTACATCGACGAAGGAAATAAACCGAAGTTCGACTTAGAGTCTGACAAGTTCTGACACAGAATCTGAAGTTTGTATTAGGGCCTTACAAGATATTCTTCTTAGTTTTTTCTTCTGTCATTGTATATCTGCGCCTGCGCCATAATATTAGTTTTATACTTAGAAATTTTTCATTGCCTGCTGAACTTAGAATTTTTTGCTATAGGTTTTACTTAGAAAATATACCAATAAAGAAAGAATTTTCTCTTTCTCCGCGGTCACCATCGGGCCCTCCACATCTGGAAGTAATTTGGATGCAGACCTGAGCGCGCCCGGCCTTTCGAAATAGAGATTTAAAGTAATTTTTTTTTCTAAGGGTTTTATGAAACTAGGCATTTTTAAAAACATTGAAAAAATTGAAAAGCGATGTTGCCAAATATGCAGGAATTGTCTCCAGTTGAAAAACCTTGGAAAGAATTCAGTCGCACAACGGTGCTTGTACGGGACACAGCAAAGATTAGTGCAATTGTGTAGTTTTCATTTTTTTAATCTATAAAAACTAAAAGTGTTTTAGTGAAAATAAAGTGAAAATGCCTCCACGCAAAGCTAAACTTAATTCTAAATTATTAATTTAATTAAATTTATTCTGTAGTTACTGTCTTTTAAGAAAGTATTAATTTCTTAAAATTTTATGCTAATCAAAATTAGAGATAATAGACTTGAAAAAATATTTTTATTCGAGCTGCTATTATTGCAAACACCTTACAATAAAATATACATATAATATATAATAAATAATGTATATAATATATATAATATATATAAATAATGTATATAATATATATATAAATAATATATATATATATAAAATTAATGTAATATGAAAAATTATGTACACGTATTTATTTATATGAAAATAAATAAAATTAAAATAATAATTGCTCTACTTTTTGTGTCTTTACCGAACGAGTATCTGTAACTCATAGCGCAAGCGCAAATCCTCATGATGGTATATCCTAGCAAAGTTTAAGCAGTACTTAGTAAGATATACTTAAGTACTGAACATATTCTGAATCGGAAATATCCAGACCCTAACAGAACTTATGTTGGTCTTACTTTAACGTGGAGTAGAAAATGTATAAGATATATTAAGTACTACTACATGCAGTACTTAGCAGTTTCTATTCAAACCTTATATTTCGACTCGGGATGCTTATATCGCAATGGTGCAGTGTGAAAAATACAATCTCAACTACACGCGTTGTATATAATAAAGTCAGTTTTGAAACCCTTAACAGCTCCATAATTATTATTACTTAATCCCTTTAAGCCTTGTGTGCGATTTTGCGTTTTCGCGAGTTTTTCATCACTTTCTGATATACATATATATTTTTCAAATTCGTAAAATGGGACAAAAAAATGTCATTGACTATTATACACATTTAAAAAAACGTTCTAACTTTAATATATTTATATAATATGTTAGACGGACCGCTGGAATAATAATAATAACTGTTGGAAATAATGATTATTTCCTTAAGGACATGTGACAAGTAAATATACAAATTTTCTTGTAAAACATTTGATTGAGCTAAAAATTTACCTGAAAAGTCAAAAACAAAGAATTGTGATGTTCGAGAATTTAAAATTATTGTCAAAAAATTCATATTTTTTGGTAATGTATCAAAATTGTATTATAATCGCACTACATTAGATACAATATTTTTATTTTTTAATAATAAATTTTTTGACAAAATATTAAAACCTTTAACACAGTCACATGTCCTTACATTTTTAATAGAGTAATCAATCAACACCTTCGGGCTAAATAAAGCTTAATGAAAGCATTATTGAACCCTACTATAATAGTAACATATATTTCCACGTAATGTAATTTTCAAGGGGAATATCGAATAGTTGTCTAAATATATATACTAAAAAATATTTGTTTCATTTTTTGTTTGGTCATACTATAAACAAGGCGATTGATATTATTTTATGATAGTTTCATTTGTGATGCTTTAATTTTTGTAATTCTTTTAATAATTAATTAAAAATTTTATTTCAACACTTTGTGTTTTTTTTAGTATTTTTACAGGCTACGAAATGCAATATCCACTCAACAATACATGAATTACCAACAGAAAATACATTTTTAAAATTTTTACATCAAATTTATTTTTTCGTTCCCTTCAATAATATATCATTTTTCGGGACATTTGCGTCATCATATTTGTAAAATTTTCATTCTATATTTTTGCTATGAAAAATGTCTCTGATTAAAATTTATTGCACAGCACGAGTATTAGTTTTCAATAATTTACAATGCAAACTTTTTTTCTCTGCTGAAAGTTTATCGCAAACTTCCCGTAAAAATTTTGTGCTATTTAGGTTATTTGATGGGTCACCTCTAGGACGGTTTCCATTTTCCCCACTCGCCATTTGTCATAATTCTTGTCGACTACCGCACCCTGCTCTAGTGAAAATTTAGTGACTTTATAGTAACTTTTAATTTTAATTATAAAGTCACGAAATTTTTACTAGAGCAAGGTGCGGTGACGATAATTATGAAAAATGTCGAGTAGGGACAATGCTAACCTTCCTCTGATTTTATTCATCTTTCGTTTTTGGATAGGGGGACCAATTAACCATACAAAATATGTATTAATTAAAAATGTTTATTATTTTTGGACGTGCTCACGGATCATAATCCGGATCACTCAAAGGTGCTCAATCGCTTTGAAATATTAATCCCTAGGACTCATAATTTTCATTGACTCATAATTTTAAAATTGCAACAAAATGTGAACGTGCGTTAGGTTCCAAAAGAATAGTGCCAGAATTTTGGGGAATAATTCCCCAAAAATATTTCACTAGAAGACTGAAAACGTGATTGTCGGGATTGCAGATTAGATTACTCCGGATCACACTGGTAAATAAAAGAAGATAAAAGCACGAGGTAGTATAATGGAGACATATTATTGCTGTATATAAAAGATGTCCCCGTTTTCGGTATTCACGGTTCTCAAGTTTTCACCAATCTAATTTCACTTACGCCAACCGCGGGATATTGTGGTATTAAACTCTGTATTCTGTAAACACGTGATTTTAATACCGAGGTTTCCCTCTAGAGGCGCAAGTGTAATTAGATTGGTGAAAACTTGAGAACTGTGAATACAGAAAACGGGGCTACATTCCGTTAGAGCCGGCCATAGGTGATATGTCTCCTTATACTACTTCGTGGATAAAAGGTATGTATAATTACAATATTAATTTTTTTTTAATTGAATGCTTTATTGTTAATGAATTAAGTCTGTCAAAGAATTTTTAACATTTTTAATGGTTATACTCCAAGTCAAAGTTTCGACTTTGTTTACATTTTCATAACCTCAAATTTTTATATTTTGAAAGAAAAATTACTGCGTGTTTTAAAAAATAATAATTATTTATTACATATTTAAGTTTATATTAATGTTTCAAAATGATTGGATAAATTATTTTAGACCTTCTTTAATGCAATTACATATTACGATGCACGTTTAAACAATTATTAATTTAATTATTTAAGAACAAATTTTATCTGCTGCGGTAATTGAAATATTTTTTGTTTTTCATTAACTTCAAAAAGTAAAAAAATTACAATTGATTAAAAGTCATAAATTTGTTAATGCAAATCACTCCGAAAATAATAAGTATTTTTAATTAATATTTGATATGGTGAATTAAACATATCTATCCAAAAACGAAAGATGACTAAAATCGCAGAGGTGAAACCTCAGTCTCATACGAAACGTACCCGGCTGAAAAAACTTGTATAAGAAAATGTACAAGTTTTTTCAGCCGGGCACCTCGCAACGGTGAAAATAGAATAGTAAATCCTACTATTATTAATCTACTAAACAAAGAAGTAAATTTTGAACTGACTAAATTGTCAGTAAAAAAGACTATTCTGTTTAGTAAATTGTGAGGGAGCATTTACACGTCTGTCGAAAAAAAAATTTACCGAAACGAAATGCACAAATTAGGGATAATCCAATTAGGTTTGTGCATTTCGTATTCGACAATTTTTTTTTTCTTGACACTGAACTGCAAAGTCTCTCTGATTAGTAGAATATACTGTAACTCTTTTCTCCGGGTATGCAAAAATTTTATTGCTTTACGTAAGTCACATTGAAAAATAAAATAAAAACATTATTTTGTTTAAAAGAAATTAAATTTCCATTTGTATTTGATACAGGTCCGTCTTTAATAACCATTTAATTTGGAAAGTTGGTGGTATAAAAAATTTTGAAGTATCTCCAAGAGATTTTTTTTTCAAAATTTTCAGCATTAGTCTATAAGAATTAATTTCGTAAAATACCGACGAAAGTGACGAATAAAATTAAACGACGATAACAGTCTTCAGTCATATATAAAGATTACGTTTGTCATATATAGTATAATTTATCAAAAACGTAACATTTCCTAAATGAAAAGTTCCCTTTGACACGTTGATATCAACATGATCGCGATTGACGATTTATACATCCTCTCTAAATTTCTTATATACATAACGACGTTAATGCCAATGTTAACGGGGTTTTATATGCATTTGTTAGCGCTTGCAATTTGAACCGCGAAAACAAGACAAAAAACGCCGCTTTAAATATTATGCTATCTTGGGTGATGCGATTTATTATTCACTATGTACAGTCACAGTCCCCAATATTGCAAGTTCACAGCACTTCGAAGCATTTCTTGAAATTGAAACCTTCGTCCTCGACAGAGAGTATTGAAGAATTAATTTCACTTCTCGCATCAGCGATCTCGTTGGATCTTTCGTATCACGCTGGCGAAAACGGCCTGTGAATTTGAGGGGGTTTTGGATTTATCGGTGGAGTCGCGACCCTTATCAGTCCCTGACCTTTAGGTGTATGCTGATTCGAAGGTGGACTACCACGAGAGGACGGTGTGTGAGGACTTGGAACTGCAACTCTTAGCGGTCCCGTTATCGATAAATTCGTTGCTACTAGAGGAGGACTGTGTGCTTCCGACAAGCTATCCGACAGCCGCGATATCCCACCGTCCGATAAACGTGAAGTTTCCGATAACCTCGATACACTTTCCGGTAGTTGATGATGGGGATGATGAAGCAAAGTGTCGTGATGGTGTAATCTTGGTGGAGGAAGACCGAGGGTATCTGGTAATCTGAAATTTTAGACGAGATTTTATTGTTACTGTGAAACTTTAAGCAAATGTAAAAACTTCACTGATCTCTATATACCTCTTAATTGACATTGCTATGGGAGGAACATGAGACATAGCGACCATCTTGGATTGTAATATAAGTACAAATTGTGGCGCGCAAGTCAAGTTGTTAGTGACATTGAATCAGTGTATTCGCCTGTAACCAGCCGAAATTGATCTCGATCGATCGTAGTTTTCTGTATAGTCAAGTGTTTTTCGTTTATTTGTGAAATTGTCCATTTTATGTGTAAATAAAATAGTTTTGTGTTCCTACTGTAGTTCGTGTGGAGGAAATGGAATAACATTTCATAAGTAAGAATCGATACACAGAAAATTAAAAGGCATTAAAATAAGCTGCAACGCTTATTATTTTAATCCAATTTTGCTTATTTTAATCCATTTTGGTATTAAAATAAGTAAAATTGGATTAAAATAATAAGCGTTGCAACTTATTTTAATGCCTTTTCATTTTCTGTGTATTTTATATTTGTTTATTATTGCTTCGGAAAAATTTAGTGAAAAATAATTTGTTTTTATATTTATTTTTTTAATATAACTTGATTACAATTACAATTTGCGGTAAAATGTTGCAACTGTAAAATTATTTACATTTTTATGTAATTATACATATTTAATTAATTCATATTTATTTCTTGTAAAACAATATTTTAATCAGTATTGCCAGATAGCTCAAACGCTTTTCCCTCAGTTCCGACCTAATTTCCCACTAAAAATAAAAATTTTCCTCTATTTAAAAATATATACAAATGCAAAAAAATATTTATTATTATTATAAAAATTACTTGTTTTTTCAATTGTATAGTTTATACTTTAATTTGAATGCACATAATATATATTCAACTTCAGTAATAAATATTTCTATAAAAAGTACATCTGAAATATTAATGATTTTGTCAAAGTTTAACTCTTTTTTAAGAATTTGTACGCAATTAAGTAATTTTAACATAGTAAAACTTAATATTCGAGTCAATTCCAAGAAATCCTTAATAAAGTAAATAAAAACTTACTAAACATTTACACTAAAGAATTTATCCCCCTAAAATTTCTACTAAAGGCTCAAAAAACCATTAAATTTAGTGGAAAAATCACTAATCTGGCAACACTGCTTTAAATGATAAAATTAATACTTTTAACTACAAACAAAAATGACCGCCAGACTTTCAATTTATCCCACGTTTCTCTCATGGCATTGCTTATCCAGAGGTATATAGAGATCAGAGAAAAACTTTATATTTGTTATTATCAGATAGATGAATATGGGTAAAAAAAAACATTCTGACTCTAGATTTTATTCTTAAGGATATTAATTTGTCTTTTTCTATTCATTGAAATAAAAGAGGAGAACGCATTTCGCGTTATCTAAATTTAGCTAAGCATCTGTACTTTTTAAGGAACAGATTTCTCATCTCGCGACATATAGTTTCTAAAATTATATTGAGGATATTTTAACGGTATTAACTGTAAGAAAGTGCCGTAAAATAGATTTTTTTTTATAAAAATTGGTTCAAAAATAAAGCATGCACGCAAAAAAAAAACAATATCCTAATCTAAATAGACAGGTTTAAATTTGATCGAGAATTTTACCTGGATCCAAGGTCTCCTCTGGGACCAACAGCCTGGAAGGGACTAGTTTCAGTTAACCTGAAGATTCCGCCACCCGCGATACTTGGGTGGTTGTGCTGCGGACTGTGCGGTCCATATCGGAAACCAGACGGCGGAAACTTGAAAGCAGTCGCGTGTCCTAACCGGAAAGATGTAGTTGGATCAAAACGAAAGCTTAAAGTTGGTTGTGGAATTGGACCTATGTGACTCATTTGATGAACGGGAGATGTTTGATGGTTAATTTGTGGCGAAGAACTAGGAGATGGCGGAGACGTTCCGCCAAGCGAAATATCCGAATCCTCTGTGTCCGATCCTCCACCTGGACTTAAAGGTCTTCGTGGATTTCCATTTCCTGGGCCGGATTGTTGCTGCATTCTGAAATCAAAAAATAAAAGAAATTTACTTCAACAAATAATATCAAGCATTATTATGTCAGACATACATTTTATCAAAGATAAAAATTTTCAAGTTCAACTTAACGAATCATCCAATCTCTTTTAATATTAATTTTTCCATACAAATTTATTTTTTAGCTGTTTCTATAGCTATCTTTCTGTATTCTTACATCTATTCATGTTAATATCAATTTAAGTCTATTTCAATCAACACATATTTAAATCCTCAATTTTTTTATCCTAATCTATTTTTGGTTCATAAAAATGTTTTTAAATAAGTTTCTTTTACACAAAAATTAATACAGTTTAAATGAACTCATGCTAGATTAAGAATTCAATTTATTCAATGAAAATGAATACGAGCTAGTTTAAATAATCGGCAAAAAAAATTTTTATTACATAATAGTAACGGCGAGCGAGTGTGATTAATGTATGATTTATGCTTCTTAAGTAAAACGAGGATTCATGGAAGAGTAACGATTACTTATGGCGATGACTTCTAAAAGTGGGATTCACGTCATTACGCGTGAGATCTTTTTGAGATATAGAAATAAGAAACTCATACGTTGGTGCGTTATTCTTATAAAGAAATTACGGAAGTGAGAAGTAGTTAAGAAACTATCATCGTGAATCACTTTATAGTTTTACAACCATGATAATTCAGTCTGATAAATTTACTATTTACTGTTGTTCATCAAGTTAATTAATAAATTTAAAGGCTTACATCTTATTATTTTATAACAAGAGAAAATAATAATCTATTAATTTTTTTGATTGTCATTAAGTAATATTCTGATATATATCTAGAATATTATAAATTCTTGAAAATTAGATTTCTTTGCAGTAGGATATGAGTCAAGATAACAGAAAACAAGATTAGAATTATTGTCAAGTCCACATGGAGAAAAATTGTTTAGCTGTAGCAGCAAATATCCATTAGCTGAAATCAATCAGCTGGTTGTGCTAACGATTTAGCTGATACAGAAAGTTATTTGCTATTGCAACTAATAGATATTTGCTACATTTGATGAAAAGTATTATAGCTTTAATCTTTAGCTGCCAAAGCTAAGGTCCGTGCGTGTAAACCCCGTAGCCGGCCGGCATTGCGACATCTCTAGGATAATTTGCGCTCGATGTTCGTTACTTTAGCTAAATTATTAGGTCTCCCAGCTGACATCTATTAGCTATCATAGCTAACAGCATCCAGCTAACATTAGTTAGCAGAAATAGCTAATAAAATTGGTATCCATATAATAGCAATTAAAATTAGCTGAAATAGCTAACTTTTTTTCTCCCAAAAAAAAAGATTATAATTATTTTCAAGTACAGACTGTGATGTTACGATTTTTAAAACTCCATTTTAAAAAACATATATTTAAGTCTAGAAAATTTAAGATTTAATGCACGACTTATTTTCTTCAGTTGGTTTTATTTTCCGTTGCAAAGTATCATGACGTGAAATAAGAGACCAAGAAACCGGTAATTGTTGAATAAAAATGCAGAATGAAAAAGGCTCGCACGCTAATGTATTACGATCACATAAGCGGGTTTAATTGTGCGGGACGCGATCAGAACTCTGTCACAAGAGACGACGAAGAACGATAATGAAATTCGGGTAGCCATAGTGCGTCAGCTCGTGCGGGTCCTCATGAAACAAGAAGACAAAGCGAGACAGCGGTATAATTAAAACGCGTCGAGTGTCCTGCAAAGGTAGGGTTCGATTACCATATAGAATGCGCGTCCTAAATAAGACCTGTCCAAGAATGTCTATATGCCATTCACCTCGAATTATGCATTTCTCTGTCGAAGCTGGCTTTCATCAAGACCTTTTTCGTACAAAAATAGATTGACAGCTGAGAGAGAACAAATGCGCCTACACTCTCGGAGGAGATCGAGGTGTTACCCTGGAAACAACGGACTCAAGACTCAATTAGCAACGAAAATACAAGAGTCTCTGAAGACATTTGAAATGCGGAGAGCCGGGTTGTCTGGAAACCAGCGAATTGATCTGCCGGAGGCTTTTAAGAGGACTGCAATAACGTCTTGAATCTGTATTGTCTTCAATGTGGTAAGCGCTTCAGTCGCTTCGCTAAAACAAGGGAATCGATCTGACAAATGGTTTCTATCTCAATACTGGGATGGGTTCTTTTCATCCGCATTCACTACACAGAGGAAGTCTCTTTAAATTTCAAAGTGATGTTGTGGCTTGCAGATCATTACTAGCTTCCTGACACTTTTCAATTAACTAAATAGACATTCTATTTTTAGAATGTTTTTAGTTGTCATTAATAGCAATATTTCCTAATCGTTTCCAATTCCCACATAGCACGTCAAGCATGTAATTTTATTGAAAATTTCTATGGTAAACTTGTTGATAACTTTGATATATTTACTGTTAATTGTGTGGATAAAATTGCTATAAATAATGACAATTTTGCTGAAATTGTCAAGGTAAATTTGCTGAAATTAATTAGAAGAAATTTACTGAAAATTTGTCAAATAATAAATTACAGTCTACCGGGGTAAGTTTATAGGACAAGTGCGGAGGCAAGTTTGGGATAAGCAAATTTTTATTTAGACAATTTTTTACTGAATTGTTTTAATTCTATGTTGACAAATGATTCCAGAAAATACCTAATTAACACAATTCAGTATATTGATTTTATTTAAATAAAACTTGCTGATCCCAAACTTGCCTCCGGTGTCCCAAACTAACCCCGTTTGATTGTATCAAATAATGCGAAAAGTAGGGGCGGTTCCAAGTGCCTACTAACAAACTGCTTACAGAAAAATTACCGTCACCAAAAACAATTCAGGAACTGTCGAAAAAGTGTTTCATTTCAGAATACATCGAGTTTATAAACACATCTGTTCTTTTTCAAAATTCTATTTCCGCTTTTAATATCAAAATAGTGAAAAACTTAGAAGATGACCTAAACAATGATGTTGAAAGTTTTCCATAAAAAAAATTGAAAACCTTGGAAAACAATGATTTAGTTGGAAATACATCCGATTATAATCCCATTTAATCTCCAATTAATGATCTATAAGTTAAAAATAAAAAATTTTAACACAAAAACCAGTATAATTAAAAAAGAATCAACCTCAAAATTATAATTTATAAAACCGAATCAGAAGAATAAATTTAATCAAAAAAAATCAACAAAATCCTATTGCATCGTTTAGTTTTGTGAATCTTTCAAATCATCAATTGTCTTGAATTCAACAGTTGTTCGAATTGTAATTATAATTAATGAAAAATGCATCCATTTACTATTTTCGATGACTGAACTTAATATTGAACATCAACTAAATATTTTCGTTAAAGTATGATTAGCTGATGATAAAAATCATCAAATTAATGAAATTCGAGAAAAATCCGATGATGTCAATAATAAAGACGAACAATATAAAACTCATTTGGGAATATTTCAGAAAGCGAATTTGCTCCCGCTCATAAAAATCTAAATTTCATGTCACAGATTAAAGACATTACTGGCACGAATATCACCATCTGAGCTGTAGTGTTTTAAAATCTTCAAGATCCTCCGCACTCATAGCAAATTGGCTAAAAAAAATTTTTAAAAGAAACTTAAGTAACCCGTTACTACTAGGAAATATTATGTTACCGAATATAATTTTGCCTGAAATTTATTGGAGAATTACCAATCACCAGTCTGTCTTTCGTTAATTTTCTTACACCATATAAATTATCAATATCTTTACTCTTTTTTCTATAGTTTTCTTATTTGAATTGTCTATAATTTACGTGAAAATAAATATTGGACATCAGAACATGTTAGTTTCGGAGCGGTTCGAGGTGCTCACAAACAAACTGCATAAAGACTCGGTTATTAAAACCTAAATCCTTTTATTAAATTCCAGATAGTTTCAAAGAATTGAAGACTTAAAAAAACAGTTACGTTACAAAAGTTTCGAATTTCGTCAATTTTGACCATATTAAACGAGATTATATAATATTTTAATTACAACTCTGCGGTTTTATAATATATATTCAGTTTAAACCGGTGTTATTCAGAATTTTAATCATACGATAAGGAAATTCGCGTGGTGCTGAACGAATTGAAGCCAAAAATATACTTTAGTATCCAAGCAGCGCGTACAGGTGCTGGCTTTGTTGGAGTAATTAAAAAAAAATTCATCAGACTCGGGGAAGTATCAGGTGCAAAAGAAGACTCTGACGAGGATGTATTCGACCGTCACGTTGGTTTTTACACCCGATGACGAGTCACTTTTTAAATCTCTTATTAAAGTATTCACTTCATATATATATATATGAACGGAACGGAACTTCTGCTTCAAAGTAGCAGTTGTTGCAATTACAGCAGGAGTATACGCAGTAGTTGATGCGGTCTTTGTGTGTGCTTCCGGTGGTTAAAAAAAAGGCAACTATCAAAATATTGTGATACCTCGTTTGCAAAATGACATTCTTAAATTCCCATATACACAAATGTATTATTACAAATAGAATAACTTTTCCTCCTGCAATTTATGAAATAAAATATTTAATAAATAATTTTTAACAGTCCTCTTATAACACCGTTTTGATACAATTAATAATGGATTATGGTGTTTCATTTTTATGATTCTCAAGAAATATATATATATATATATATCGATGGAATGTTTCGAAAAGATCTGAGTCTCGGTTTCGACGAAGGATATCATTTTAACAAAATCTGGTCTTGTCACGGGACACCGAATATGGCATTCGTTTCATAGATTCCGTGCATATATACACCCCCCTTGAAACTACCCCGTGCCATGCTAAATACCCAATGCATACAATGGGGAATATATCGTTCAAAAATCTGAGCCTTGGAAGAACTCACAAAAGGTAACTGGATACCAGGGCGAGAAGCAGCATGTGAACAGGGCACATTTCGAAGCAGAGACCCCTCTTTTTTTCATGCTAGCTCGTTTTTAATAGCCGCTAATAGAGACGTTAAAACGATACGACCCCTCTCGCGACTAACCTCGATGCTCAATTCTTTCTCCCTTTTCATTTTTTTCATCAATCTCTCAATTCAGCTCCTTCAGTGTAAACTCCATATGTGAGCAACATATCTCGCAGTCTATTAGTTTTTAACGACTATATATAACAGGTAATAATATAAGAATTCCTTTTTTTTAGAAGGAAATTCTGAAAATAAAATTATTTTAATTTTAATTCGAAAACAAACTCCAAATCTTTTCTGTGTTAACTTATATATGACTTATACAATGCATATGTGACGCTCCACGAGAAAAGGGACTAAAAAAAAAAATGTTAAGTTATGTTTGTGATTTTTGGAGTAAACATGCTCACAGAGAATCAAATCTTCGAACACGTTTTCACCGATTGGATAAATTTAATATTTCGAGAGGTTAAAGGCAGTAGAAATATTCTGCGCAGAATGTTAGCTTTTGCGCAGACGCAGAATATATCTACTGCCTTTAACCTCTTGGAAGATTAAATTTATCCACACGGTGAAAATAGGCTCTTAATGCAAAACATTTACGTTTAAGTTTCCATTACATTCAAAAAAATGCATTAAAAACTAATTTTGATTTTACCTAATTAAAAAGAAACTTGTTATCAAGGTAAAACTATCACTAAACATAATCTAAATTTGTTTTTAAGGTCCCTTCTCTCGTGGAGTGTCACAGATATTTTGGTTATTATTTTGTTTGTCTTCAGGTTTTAAATGCCTTTAATTTTTAAGTTTAGTAATTTTTAATTGAAATATCTGTCTCTGTTACAAAATCTATCTTTGGTGCAACGAAAATTGTATTTTTCTAACTAAATTTTTTCTTTGATATAGAAAAAATTTTATTGATTTTTTCATTCGATATTTTTATTGGTGTGAAATTAGAAACTAGGCACTTTTTGAAGGAAACGTATATATGTTTATGAGTTATTTACAAAATTAACTCTTATTGTTCATTTTTAACCTCTTTTCCCTCCTTTGAAATTTTTATTAAAGTTCATAAATATTTACTACGATTTGAAAAACAATTATTTAAAATTATAAAATATATTTTGTACTTTTTATACCAATATTTCCTATATTGACACTTTTTCTCTAAATTGAAAAATATTTACTAAAATTTCTACTATACTAATTGGAATTTAATATACAGGGTGTTCCAAAAGTATATGGAAACTTGCAAAAATTTCGAAAAGTACGCATTTTCGTGATACTTCTTTTTTCACTGTTGGGTCCCGGGACCAATTTTTTGGGTTCAAAAATGTAGATCTTTTTTTTGGGAACAATTTTTGTTTTGGAATTCATTGCTTTGTCATGTAAAGTGAACAATAAGTTTTTTAAAATTAAAAAAGCTATTTTAAAATGTTGATACTTAGAATAGATGAAAAATAATTAGTTTAAAAAAAAATAAAGTACACTATTGGATTATATAACTAATATTTCAATGTTTTAAATGTCAATTAAATATTTATTTCTGTAGGTAAGGTATGATTTACCTTAATAAAAAATAACACGACTAACTTGTTTTTAATACAACTAAATTGGATCTTATATTTGACGGAAATTTAAATTACATTTCTATAAATGTTCATCTGTCGTTCTACTTTCCGGCGTCAAGAAACGTATTGGCTATATATATACTCTAGATACAATTTTCGAGCAGTTTAAATGAAAGAGGTCTTTGCTGAAGACATTGACACGTTTAGAAATATCTTTTGTGTAAAAGTAATTTTTAAATGCGGCTTGAAAGTGAAATATAACCTCCAAATATATTTTATGCAAAGAAATACGTCTTTTTTTTACCAAAAATTAATGTTTGATTCCAATCTAAAAACTAGTTTTATTCTATACTTTAAATTTATTTTCTCACGCTAAAGAAATTAACAGAAATTAGCTTGATTTGAATTCATCAATAAGTCTGCGTGAGTTTTATATACAATCTCTCTACAAATGTTATAATGACGTGCAAAAATGAAAAAAAGGTATACAAAAAAAGATAAATAAAAAAAAACAGTTAAAAGGTAAAAATAAGCCGGCGTCAAAAGCGAATCTGCCTTGCGGAGTTGTTGCTTTTCTGGGTGTAGTTTATTACTGCCTGATGCGGTATACCGTCGATGCATTAGAGGGGTATAACGCTTAAAACAAAGAAAGCAGACTCGGCTGCACTTTGTCTAAGGGGACGGTACATTAAACGAAAGGACGACCAACGTCCAACACTGCGATCGACAGGTAGTCCATGATTTGCAACATTTTATCCAGCTTCACATCTTAAGTTTTTAAAGCCAGTGCAATATGGCGTGTATATGTATATGTATATATATATACGAGACTAGTGGCGGGCGGAGGCCGCTTGCCGGGTTCATATTCGTTCAACCTGGTTGACAGCCGGATCTTCCATATGCCGACATCCTGAGAAACGATGAAATGTTTACTCAAGAACAAAAGAATATCGGCTTATGGACTACTTATACTCATTTATCGGATACGTCCGATATATATATATTTTTTTTGAAAGTTTAAAGAGCTACATATCTGCTTCTGTATTAGACAGAAAAAAATTTATTTCATTCAAATAATCGGTTACTTGACTATTATTAAATAAATATTTATTTGAGTACTCGCATTTATTTGTATCAAATAACACAGCCACAAAAATAAAATTTCTAGCCTGGGGTACACACGATGTTTATTATACGTTTTTGGGGTCACTGAAACCAAATCCACTGTTCATTTTACTCTATGCTCTGCATCATGGCGAAAAATTTAGAAAACTAGATTTAAACCAAATGCGCTTCGAATTTGGTTAAAAGTTAAATTTTGTTACTAATTCATGAAATATGATTAAAAGACATACTGATCACTGAAAAAAAGTATATTTTTCACCCCAGGAAACGTATAGTAAAAATTATATGCACCACCGTCTATGCGCTTTAGTATTATAGTATTATCCGCAACAAAAATTAAACTAGATTTTTTCGGTTTAAAATTTATATTAATAATGAGTAAAGAAATGAGTTAAATTAAGTTCTAATTAATTGATATACTAATTATTTCGCTGGGTTAGTGGAAAATAAGGACAGTTAAATCAAACGAACGTGTTCATTTTTTCCACTAACCCAGCGAAATAATTAGTAATTAATTAATTAGTATAATTACTTACAGCTTATCTTAACTTAATTCTTGCACAAACTAAACATAATTTATCAATATCAATGGTTTTTAAAATAAAACCATAAAAACCCTTCACAAAAAATAGAAAAATAAAAAAAATTCAACACTGGGATTCAGATTATGTTTGGATGCTGAAACCAAATCCGCGGTCCATTTTACCCCATCACGTCAGGATTTTTACATAATCTCAAAAAACATTTACAGGAATACAAAAATTGAAAAATAATTCAATACCGGGATTCAAATCAGATTTATTTTGTTTTTTGAGTCTACAAAATTAAATTCATTGTTCATTTTACCCCATTATGTCAGGTTCTTAACTTGAATTTAAAAAATCTTATAAACCCAATTAGCCCAATAAATCTGAGTAAGAATTTCTGAAACGTGACACCTAAAACTGAAAAAATTTATGTTTTGTTAAAATGTTATTTTTCTTATAATATTTTATATGCACAATCACTCCCTAAAATGATTTTGCAAACATAATTTTTTTTGGTTGTTATTAACAATTTTTGACCCTTTTTAAAAAAAAATTAAATTGTTAATAACAAAAAAATTTTGTTTGCAAAATCGTTTTAGGGGGACCTCTTTACCCCATATAATCTACAATTTAAATGGCTCAAAAATCATATAATAAACATTATCTGCAACCCAGGGTTTGATTACTTTTAATTTGTTGTGTTTCTGTAAAAAATTTTTGAGGTCAAGTCAAAATTCTGACCTGATGAGGTAAAATGAAGAGTGGATTCGGTTTCAGCAACCTAAGGAACTTTATAATAAACATATGATCTGAATCCTAGGGTTCAATTATTTTTCTACTTCGTATGTTCCTGTGAAAGTTTTTTAAAGTTATGTCAAAATCCTGACGTGATGTGGTAAAATGGACAGCGATTCAGATTCAATTACCCTAAAAACGTATAATAAATATGGTTTGTAACCCAGATTAGAATTTTTTTATGGCTGTAATAATTTTAATTCGAATCCAAAAAAATGTAAGTTTATAAACCATTAATTTCTGTATATCTGAAACAAATGAAATTTAATTCGACTAAAAAAACTTATTTATTTCAATGAATTATTTATTTGATAACAGTCAAGTAACCGATTATTTAAATCAAATAAATTTTTTTATTTTGTTATAGTTAAATTTTGCTCATTTGTTCTAAGTCAATATCAAAAGTCGATATAGGAATTTGAGAGTAGGTCTAATATAGAAAATGTTAATCATCTAAAATACCTACTAAATTGAACCTATTTATTATAATATATAATAAAGACAAAAAGGTTGTCAGTCTTGAAAAAGAAATTATGCAGGTTAAGACAGAATGTCGAGTTCTTCAGGCCCATTGGGCAATATAGCAAACATTATTGAACAGGGGCATAGACATTTCGAGTGTTTACTCTAGACTCTAGAGTCTAGACCCAAAATGAGGTAGTCATCCAAGTCGCCATTGAAGTTTGCATTAGGAACTCGTGGGAAGAATGTTGAAAATTAAATCCTTCCTTATTTTGACACTAGGAAAATGAGAAGAATTTTAGCGGAAGCTAATCCCTTTGTCCATATCATGCGACCCGGAAAAATACTTCTTTCTGCGCGCACTATCTTCTGAGTGTGTTGTGTGTATTATAAACGTACCTGTCTGGTGAATCGGATCCATTATTTTCACTGTAACAGACCGAAATAAATTATCAATAATTATATGTTGTTTTACATTTTTGGTTCGATGAATTTACAAGTTTCGAACTTTAAAAACACATCTTTTTTCAACAAGATATGCTTTGTATTAAATGTAAAATAAAAGGATCCGCTTTGTTTGGTACATGTCAAAAATAATTTTAAATCATTTTTTTTAAATATATGGTATTTTATGTGATGTCTAAAGTTGTATTATAAAGAGAATTAAAAAAAAAAAATAGTGTCCTGCTTTTTCTTTTACAAACTCTTGGTCGAAATAATAACGGTTCGTTGATATAACTTAGCTTTCGAAACAAGTTTTCAACATTTAATTTAATTTAATGACCTGTCTGAAGATGGTGCTTGTAGCTACGACAACTCTCGCGCTCTTTTTTATAATACAGAATATAGAAATCGGTCGGTAAATAATTTATATGTAATCAGACTCTGATTGTGTGCGAGAGCAAAGGGTCTATCGTTCTCAAGAATCGAGAAAGGGCGCCAGCAATGGTCGACGAGAACGAAGGGTGTTTGTCAGCAAACACTATTGAAGAGGCTCTTAACAGATCTCATGTGATGGCTTGTGCGTGGGTTTCTTCTTTTTTTTTATATGCGACGAAAAAAATGACGCGTTGAATGGTATCTAACTGAATAAGTCAGAAAAAAAATTGTCATATCCGTTAAATTAATACGCAATTATTTTTTTTACTAATTTCAATTTTCATATATTTCTTTGAAAAATGAAAACTTAAAATTTTCTCCCATATAATGTAAAATTTTTTTTCCACTCTCATTATATAAGGGAAAACCATTTACGATTCAATTGCGTCAACAAATTGTACATCAATTATTATTAAACGAGGACCTCAATGTCATCCGATTGAGGCACGCGCCGTCGTTGAACGGTGCTCGTATAGCTTGAAGGACCCTTGAATCGATTCGAGTCTCGTAGCGCACTTCGGGTCAAATTAAGTTTCACTCCTGAAATATGTCTCCCTTCATCTCTCATAGTAGGGTATGTCTCCTTAGTCAAAACTTAAGAGAATATCATTTAAGTGATTAGTGAATGCAACAGATGGTACAAAACAGATCAAGTTTTAATTTAAAACACTGTTAGAAAAACATAATGTATTACATTTAATATAAGCGCAAGTATGTGAAGCAAATATTCAGAATTACAGCCATTTCAAAAAATTTGACAATTATTTTAAGTTAACCCTAAGTTACACCACATTTTGTAACTGACAGATTTAGAGTGTGCTTCCATCGCTTGATTGAGAAAAATCTGACATACAGTATATCTAAAAATATACTTTGTAATAAATTTTTAATTATCTAGTTATATTTAACAAAATTGAAATAATCAGAAACATTGGAGGCGAAAGAAAGTGAATAAAAACTTGCAAGAATTTCAGCCTCGTAACACTCGTTTGGACTCTGATTCGCTCAATTAACCATTTTCAGGGGAAAAAACTCACCGTCCAAATTCTGCGCGACAGCCCGTAAAACCCGCAGCTCGTGTTCACCTTAAGAAAGAAACCTAAAGAGAGAAGGAAAGACGAAAAGAAGGCGAGAACGAGAAGAGGATTTTGCTCGGAGCAGCGATTCAGGTAATACGTTATATCATTTTTCAAAAGGGATCCGTTTGTCTCCGATGATATTTCTTCCATATATTCTTTCCTGTCTCTCCTTGTCGCCGATTCTCTCTCTTCTTTATTTTTTTTCCTGTAATTGGTTTCCTTTCAGTTGTTTTTCGAGATGGAACAGATCGAACAACAGGGTGGGTATAAGATTTCACATATACGCAGGGATCAGATTGGTTAGCCTTAAGCCGGCGCAAATTACCCCTAAGCCTTTTAGTCGTCGTGTCTGTTTTGCTGGGCTACGAACGAAGAAGAGAGCAATATTACTTCGTACTGCTTGTAATATTCTCAAAACCCCTACAGAGGGCTTTGCAAAGGATTCTAAAACAAATCTACTGAATAGTACATTTATGAATTTTCAAGTTCTAAAATTATTAACAAGTAAATTTTGATTAATGACCATTTATTAGCTGTATTGCAATACATCGAATTATCTATATGAAAATAATGATTTTGTTTTGTGGAAAAAGTGGTTTCTTTTTTATTTTAATTTAAAAAATGCATAGAAGAGAGAAGGTTAGGTTATGTTAAGTACATGTGACTTATCATTAAAACGAGATATTGTGGCATCATCATGGTTCCACTTAACAATTCTTGCACTTTTTTTTCTTCCGCTAGAATCATGATGACACTGCACTTAACTTTTTAAAAACATTTTTTTTTATTAATAAATTATGTCGCACATGTGTTTCCATTAACGCACAAAGTAATCCACATGAGGTGAGCACGAAACATTGGACAATTAACCTGTTAGCTGAGCAAATCGCCAGCAAGTCGAATTGTTCCATCAGCAGTCGCTAGGGTCGCTACTGAAGGTTTCTTGTTTGCAAACTCAACAACCAAGCTGAAGAAAAATTTCGTATTGTCGACAAAACAAAATACATTTGTATTAATAAAAATATTTGTAATTCCAACAATCAGAATTCTGTTAACAAAAAATCTACAAATAACAATCCAAAAATTGTTAACACAGTAACTAAATATAATTTTATAAATAGGAGATCCCGAAAAATAAAGTAATTTAATTGTAGAATTATAAACAAAAAATGTTATAGAAAATAAATATACTTTAGTTATATTTTTCTTGTTGGTATACTAAATTGAACTATTTGAATTTCTGTATAAATGCAAGTGAAGAAACTTGAAAGAAGAAGGGTGCCCTTCGAGAGAACTTGCTCTTATATAGTCAACCAATCTAGCTGAGCATCAAAAGGCGAATAAGATATGCTATCCGCGGGGTATGAGAGTAAAAATTTAACTTGAACGCAATTCAAAGCGATTACCGAGCTCCACTCTATAATACATCCCTTACCCATCTCTTGATTGGCTTACATTGTCGATGCTTAAATGTTTCATGCACCAGTGACCGACCAGGGGATATCATTGCGCTCTGATAGGGTAACGTTTCATGCCTTCAAGCGTTACTGTCTGACAAGACTTTGATTTTCAATTGGTTTCAAATATACTGCATTAATCACGTTTCAGACATACAATTCGAATTTCCTTTCATTCGCAAAATTTCATGGCTTTATCATTCTCGTGTAACAAGTTTTAAACAGGAAAATTTAAATTGATGTTGAAGCCATATTCAAGGGCGATATACATGCGTCTAGTTTTTTTTTCAGAAAGACCTTTCCAAAAAAATGATATGATATAAAATTAAATTAACCTTAATTAAACCAATTTGATATTTCAAATTTCTTACTGTATGGAGTTTAGTTGTTTTTTTTTCATCAAAATTTAAGTTTCTGAAAGTAGCAATAAAAATATTGTGGAATTACTAATAATTTTGTATATTTAAAATTAAAAAATATACTTAGTAACCTCTACTAGTAATCTGTCCCGTTCTACTACTATCGATAGAAAAATTAAACGATTCGTTTTCCCTCAGGAAGCAGAGAATCAATCTGACGTTTCGTAACCTGTGTAAACCAATTTCAGTCAATTTCGCGTCAAGAATAGCCTCTTCAACAATGAATTGACCTCGCAAGGACCTTTCCAATTCTAACAGGTCTTGAAAATAGTCCTCGTAAGTCGTGACCATCAACGCTTTATTCAAACCGTACCCTCTTTTTTCATACGAGAACTTTAGTGAACGCGTAAGAGAAAATTAGATTGGGTTAGATGACGTCCGATAAAAGCGATTTTCACTACATAAATATGTCTACTTGTCAAACCTACTTACGCAGAACATATAACAGTTAGTTCTTACCAGACTGTTCAAAATATCTTTAAAACATATATAATCACTTCAATCACATCTAAATTTAAATCAGTAAGATTTCACTGTAGTATTGGAATTTAGCAACTGAATCAGTAAGATTTCCACACAGTCATGTTTTACTGAAAATCATTTATTCATCAGTAAGTTTCATTTATTTTCCATATTATTTCCACTCCCTATATGAATGTGCAATAAATTCGTCGTCAAAAAAATTTAAAAAAAAATTTTTTTTAATATACTTATGCGATGATAGATTCTTAAAAAGAGAAAAAAAAATAAGAACAAGATTCACACCATTGAAAAAGTATCCACACTCCCATGGGAATTATTCTTGGACAATTTTATCGCAAAGCATTTTCGCAGAGCGTGCATCGGTGTATTTGGAGTGAAATTAGCGAATCCCAAGTCCCTCGAGGCATCCGAGATCCCCGACTGAGGGTTGAGAAACATTGTCGGACGAAGGGAACTACGAGTTGATATTACCGGTCCCTTTTCAATGTTCCGAGTTCTTGAAGTGTCAAATTTGATAAAGTTACATCATGCTTTTGTGACGCAAGTCTTCTCTTGATATACATACTATATATAAGGGAGACCGGGACATTGTCGCAGTTTTCAAGTTTTGTTATTCTATATTAAAATTATATTAAAACATAAATATCCCATGATTTTTATTGTAATATCCCAATTGCCAATATAAAAATCTCGGTAGTCTGTCGGAGTTCATGACTGGAATTATAGAAATCCACCTTCATCCCGCCTTTTTGCGTCAACAGAAAATAAATAAGAATCTGGTTCGACAGGAAACAGTGTCTCAACATAACCAAAACACTTTACCTTAACTCCTCCCTTATTTTAACCCTTTACCCTGTATCTACTTACATCTCTTTAGATCTCGCATTGTCAGTTAAACCTTCCTCTCTCATATTTTACTATTTACTGATGGCGAAACCGGTTTCAAATCAACCACAGTCAGTCTTTTATTCTTTTCCTGCTTTAAATTACTAAAAAATCCAGTTTATAAATGTTTTCTCTTTACCACTCCTAAATCCTTATCTAGTTTTCTGGTTTGCAACTTAATCGCTCTTTGCTCCAACCATTTTCTTAGAATAGAAATATGTAAAGAG